CTTGCCTTTGCAAAATAAATTGGTGTCATATATTAACAGTCATAAAAATGTTCAGAAGCACAGGTCTCACAATCCCACATTTATAAATTTATTCTAAATAAAGAAACCAAAGGAGGAGGAATAAATCTTACCTGTAAAGATATGTTTTTCTAACATCATAACTTAATGTCAAATAATAGTGAAAAACTAATCAAATTATGTTAAGTAGAATATTGTGTTGCAATTAAAAAAAAGACAATTATGAGGACAGGTGTAGCGACAAAGGAAAGTACTTTCAATAAGTAAGTAGAAAAGTTCAAAAAAACTATATATAACAATGGGACTATCACTTATAAAACATGTATAGTGATGTAGAAACATGTTTGAAGGATATATAGTACAGATAAGTTTGTTAGGATGGTGCAATTACGTGTGTTTTCCCATGTAATTTCCATTTTATAGAATTTTCACTTCATTTTGTGATAATAATTAATTAAAACAATTAAAATTCATGTTTTGTCTCTCAGTTCAAATAGATCTCCCTTGCAAGAAAACCTTCATAATGCCTTATTTACATTTTATTCTTGGAATTTATATATGTTCTTGCAGTAGATTTATCAGTGAACTTGTAGTAAGTTAATAAGTTGTGTAATTACTTGCTTCTAGATTTTGGAAATGGGCACAAGAGTTTGTAAATAGATCCTATGTTTCATTAGTAGTAAGAATTGTGACTAAAATTTTGAGATGCACTCAGTTGTCTGTTCTGCTCAGAAGGGATAATAATTGCCATGTGTGCACCTGCAAAATTCATGGGCCTCTTTCTCCAAAGACTCATTGTTATCTAATAATCCCATACAGACATTATTCAAAATGATCACTGATTTCACCTCTTGACATGGTATTTTCCCCCCTATTGACAGTAGAGAAACTAATCATTGCAGCTATTTAAACAAATTTAACGTTGAGCATATTATTTTTCCAAATCTCTGCTATTAGAGAAGGGGTCACTTCCAACAGGAAGCAAGGCTTTTTCCTAGAGTTTGAAATGGAGATAGCCCTAACAGATGCCCCAGGTAATTCCAATGGCTCAAAGAATTCCAAGTGCAATAGAATCACAATAGGATCTGGAAGAAGAACAAAAGAAAATGGGTCATGTTTTAAGTCCAAGTTCTCCCAAGTAAGCACAGAGTAATCCAATTTGCTAGAGATTCAGTCCAACAGGGTTAGTGAGCAAGCCACCTTCAGATTTAGAAAGCAAAAACAAACCCCGCAAGACTTAAACACTAAAAAATCATTACTTAAAGCATTTCAAGCCTGGGCCAAGCTGAGGATCAGGCTCCAGGAGGAAACGCTGGGTTTTGCTTTCCCCCAGGCTGCTGTCTGGCTGTGCTCTATGGCGTGCTGGATGCTGTGAGTGTGAGTTGCTATCTGCAGGCATGTGGACTCACTGGATTCCACATTATTTTTATTCCCACTTCTTCATCCAACACTAATCACATGTGCTTGTTTGTACTCTGGAAACCATCTGACAGGTATGGCTACGTACCATGGCTATGTCATGCTGCAGCATATTTAGAGGCCCTCTTAAAAATACAAATACAGTAGTAGGTTAAACTGAAGAGGTAAATCCACGTTCTGGATCATATTTCCTTGATCACTGTCTTTTTTCCCACTGCTCCATTATTAAAAGTTTGGATTAAATTTTGGGAATCAACCCACATAACCATTCAGAAAGAGATGCTTCCAAAAGGCTTAAAAGAAGTAAGGAATGAAAGCCCGAAACACAGAAATAAACTGAATATTGGGGGAAAAAATCTATACACTAAAACTAGTAAGTTTTGCATTGTATTTCCAAGGAAATGGTGGTAATTTTTTATTTTTGAGACAAAGTTGCGCTCTGTCACCCAGGCTACAGTATAGTGGCATGATCTCAGCTTACGGCAACCTCCACCTCCCGGGCTGAAGCGATCCTCCCACCTCAGCCTCCCAAGTAGCTGAGACCACAGGTGTGAGCCACCATGCCCAGCTAATTTTTTTTGTATTTTTAGGAGAGATGGAGTTTTGCCATGTTGCCCAGGCTGGTCTCAAATTCCTGAGCTCAAGCTACTCGCCCACCTTGGCCTCCCACAGTGCTGGGATTACGTGCATGAGCCACCACTCCCAGTTGGAATTTTTAAATTATCATTTTTATTTATGAGACTTAAGCTACTTATGTAGAACTGGTAGTGATGAAAGTTCCTACCACTTGGAAATTACCAGATTAAGATTCAGAAAAAAAATACTAAATGATTTCATTTTAGACCTTAAGTCAGAATAGCATTTAGTACTTTAAGTTTCTTTCTTATGTACTCTTGTTAGTCAGTGAGTTCCTTCAGTGACTCAGAGGACCTTCAGGTACTACCTTTTCTACCTGCAGTGCCATTCATTCATCTATTTGTTCATTCTAAAAACATTCATTGAATATCTGCTATTGTCAGACATTAATGCAGGTGCTGGGTTACAATGAAAACCAAACAAGTAAATAAAGCATGAAGATATTAGATGCTACAATAAATATAAAACAGAGGAGTGATGTGATGGAGTGAGACTAGAGGTCTTGTTTAGATTGGATCAGGGAAGCCATCCTTGAGGAGGTGACGTGTAAGTGGAGATGGGATTGATTAGATATTGGAAGCTTGGGTGGAAGAGCATTCCAAGTAGATGCAATACAGTGTTAGGGCCCTAAGATGTTCAAGGAAGAGATAAAGGCAACAGTAGCTGGAGCATAGGCCCAAGTGGAAGATGGGTAAAAGATGAGTTTGAGTGGGGAGAGAGGGATCATCTTACATAGGGCCTTGCAGGCAGAGTGAGGCATTTGGATATCATTCTAAATGCAGTGGAAAACCCTGGAAGGCTTTACACAGGGCCACTAATCTGATCCACTTGAAAGATGCTGCCATTAGGGAGACAAGATAAAAGCAAAGAGACCAGCTATGAGGCTATTTATTAACTTAGCCCAGGTGAGAGACGATGGCCTCCTAGACCAGGATGCTACGTCTTAAAGGCAGATTTAGCAGATCTTGCCTATTGATTTGAAGGGGCCAGGAGCAAAAGGAGAAGAATCAAGGATGATCATGTTAAATAGACTTAAAAACTCAGCAAAAATATTCCCGACTTTGCAAAATGAATGGGAAACAAGGACCTCACTTGATAAAATGCCCATGAAGCAATATCTGGATTGCAGTAGATACATGCATTTCCTTTTAGACATTAATGCACTAGGAGGTTGCTCTATCGTACATCAAGGAGGACCTGCAGACAGTGCTTTGAGAAGCCCAGTCAATTCTAAATGAAAGGCAGGACAAACTCCTAACAGAAACTTCCCCAGCAGTTTTACCACCCACGGGTAGCTCTGGAGTACAGTCAGGATTTTCACTGCTAAAGAGCCACAGTTTCCTCATCTGTAAAATGAGAAGTTTTAAATTAGATGTTCTCTAAGGTTGCTTCTAATTTAAAAATTCTGTGGTTTAACACCCTACTGGGTCTATTCTAGGGATCTTGAGTACACAAGTCATATACAATAAGTTACAGTAATAAAGATACTTCAGGGTTTAAAAAAATAGTTTCATTCCTACACTTAATTCTGTATTTAAAATAAGTTTTTCTTGGTTGGGAGTATTTATAGTCTTTCTGAAGTGACAACAAGTGAAGATATTTTTGCTTGAACATTAAGTCTACCCTTTGCACCTGGGATAAAATTCTTCTCTTTAGGGGTAAATAAACCATAGTTAGAATGTTTCCCTTTATTCAAATTTTTTTTTTTCTTCTGGGTACCTGGTGTGCCGGGTCACTTCCCTGAGTGGAAAAAACATATTATCTGTATTTACACAAATATATACATAAATGTATATTTGCTATTATTGAGTGTGTGCTATGTGTCACACTTTGTGTTGTGACAGTGATTTTCACATATTATTTGATCCTCACAAGAAGCTGTAGGAATATTTATCTCATTTCACAAATGGGTGAACTGAATCTTAGCATCCTACAGAGCTAGAATTTCTACCCAGTTCTGCAGACTTCTTAGTCAGGCTCTCATCTTTGGAAATGAGAGACATATATCTACCACTTCTCGTGGCAAGGATTAAATAAATTGATATGCGAAAATCACTTATCACAACACAATGTGTGAACCCAGCTGTTCCATGTAGCATTCTGAGGTACAACCATCACTATGTCTTTTGTGCTATTTGAGGCTGTAGCCTTTCTAAATTTCTCTCATTACTCATAACTCTGCTCCACTCACATTTCCTATCAAGGCTTAGTACATCTTCCCAAACAAACATTAACACAATTTTAGCATACTCAAAAACCCAGTGACTTCTTGAGCCCTGGGGCACCAGTTATAATAGGGTTTTTGCTACACCTGTGGATTTTATTAAAGGTTTGTTTCTTTCCCTAGTCACCTTCCTTCCCTCTCTTTCTCACCTCATCCAAAATTCAGCAGAAGTCCACAGGGCACAGAGCTCAGAAGGTATTATCTGGTTATTAGTTTTTAATTTTCCGTGGAAACTCTAAAGCACTGCTGCAGACTCTGGATTCCATCTGGGTTTGTTATCCTTCCTCCCTCTGGCACCACACTGCTCTGGTCCTAGGCCAGCTGGTGGCAAAAACATCTCCTTTTGTTTCTCAAGCACACATCACCAGGTACTTGCCCTGTTGATGAGCAGCCTCTCAGTCGGTTTGCTTTGTCTGCTTTTTTGTCTCTTGGTCACAGCAGGGCGTGAAATGGGCAGAAGCAAAAATACCCAACAAAACATTTATCCTAAGGTCCCCAGACTCCTGAATTCACAGCATTCCCCAAATATCAAAGTTACATAAATATTTTCCTTATGATCCTATAACCAAGTGGAGGAGAAAAAAATATTTTAAAGCAAAATAGACAGTAATTTTTTCTGCGTTCTTAGTGGGGGAGATGGAGGTGGTGGCATTATTTATATTATTCTAGAAATAAATCTCTCTCTCCATTCCTCTTGCAGACACTGGTGAGGGAAGGAGAAATGAGAAACTGGGCACATCAATAAGGTTGGTGTATACAATGGGAGGGCTAGAGCTGAGCTTGGGGCTGGAGCTAGATGGAGCTGCCTGGTTCATTCTGCATGAAGTGATAGGATGATATCATTTTCTTTTCTTTTTTTTTTTTTTGAGATGGAGTCTCACTCTTGTTACCCAGGCTGGAGTGCAATGGCATGATCTCAGCTCACCGCGACCTCTGCTTCCCGGGTTCAAGTGATTCTCTTGCCTCAGCCTCCTGAGTAGCTAGGATTACAGGCATGTGCCACCGTGCCTGGCTAATTTTTTGTATTTTTAGTAGAGACGAGGTTTCTCCATGTTGGTCAGGATGGTCTCGAACTCCCGACTTCAGGTGATCCATCCACCATGGACTCCCAAAGTGCTGGGATTACAGGCATGAGCCACTGCACCTGGCCGGATTCCATTTTCTTATGTTTTGCTCTAGAAGAAACCACTGAGTCATGCAGGGAGGCTGGCTGAGCAGAGATAGCAGAACTGGTATCCAATCAGAATGTCTAAAGTGTAACTTTAAGTTGTTCTTCTTATGCACACCTTCTGTCTCCTCACACTTCAGGTAAAATTTGTCTGTTGGCTTTATTATTTTCTATATTTGATTTGCTATTTTGTGGCAAACAAGGAAGGCAGAGAAATTGTATCTCAGTGAGATGTAGTACAGAGCAGAGACACCATGTGTGGGATGGTGAAAAAATCCATAAACTTAACAAATTTAGGAGGCATGGGAGTGTAAAAATAGAGGTGACTGGGAACAATGTAAGTCATCCTCTCCCCCACCGGAATTCCTGAAATGATTGAAAGAATGTTGAAACCCACACTATGCATGATGTCTGAACCAATTTTATTTATGTCTCAATGGATGTGGTACCCTGGCTAATATCTAGAGGCCATTACCAATGTAACTGCTATTTAATAACTATAATGCTGGTTTCATTGGTTCTTACCCTTACGTGTTGTGATAGCAGAATAACGGCCCTCCAAAGAGGCCCACATGCTAATCCCTGGAATCTGTGGACGTGTTAGGTTATGTGGAAAGGGGATTTAAGGTTGCTGCTGGACTTAGGGTTGCCTATCAGCTGGCCTTAAAGGGGAGATGATCCTGGATTATCTGGGTGGGCCCAATGAAATCACAAGGATCCTTCAAAGTGGAAGTGAGAGGCAGAAGCAATGTCTTGTGAGAGAAGGACTCCACCATTTCTGGTTTTCAAGATGGAGAAAGGAGAGCAGGGGCCAAGGAATTTGGGCTGCCTCTAGAGGCCGGAAAAAGAAAAATAAGAAAAATAAATTATTCTGCAGAGTATACAGGAAAGAACTCAAACCTGCCAACATCTTGACCTTAGCTCATCGAGACTCTACCCTACAGAATGGAAAGAGTAAAACTGTGTTGTTTTAAGGCACCAAGAATATTATGGCAGAAACACATATCTGTCAATAGTTATCTATTACTACATAATAAACCACCCCAAAATTTAGTGGCCTAAGCAAAATGAATCATTTATTTTGCCTGGAAACCTATAATTTGAAGAGGGCTCAATAGAGGTGTTTGTCTCAGTGCTACACACCAACATCTTGGGTGCTTCTTTTGGGGCATGGAGAGTCCACTCTCAAGGTGGCTCACTTCCATGGCTGAAAGGTGTGCACTAGCTGTCAACCAGGAGGTGGGCTGGGAAGCTCAGCTGGGGCTATTGGCTTGGGAACTCATTCCCTTTCCGTGTTTCTCTCCACAGGCCGTTTGGACTTCCTCACAGCATGCTGCATGATGACTGCAAAATCAAGCATTCTAAGAGAACAAAGGAGAGGATTTAGGCCAAAATGCATGACATTGTTATGACCTAGCTTGAGAAGTAATATACTTTCACTTGTGTCAGATTCGATTGGTCTGCTCAGGTTCAAGAGGAGTGGACAGAGATTTATATCTTGGTAAGGAATGGCAAGTTTTTAGTAAAGCATGTGAGATGGCAGACAGTTGTGAAGCCATCTTTGGAAGTTACAATCTGCAATACTCACTTATGTGAAACCTCAGCTGCTTGTGCACTGTATCCCAAAATTATTTCTGGGGGACCACTGGAGATGTTCCATGTGTACTTCAAAGTAAGCTTTGCACTTACCACCTACATGCACTTTTAGTTTTCATCTCCTGCTTCCAACACTTGTTTGACTAGAGCTGTGTCTTCTGGATAATGAAAAAAATCTGTTGTTATTCCCATCTCACTATCACCATTGAGGAGTGTGTATGTTAGGCCCTAACAAAAGAGGAATGGCAGCTCTTGGTCTCTCTGCTTTTGGTTTTCCTCTGGTAAGGAATACTCAAATAGGACACTTCCTTTGAAGGTCCTCAATGCCTTACGCAAATAGAGGCTAGCAAGTCAAGACCTAATTGAACTCTGGAGTATATACATTAGGTTCAGACTCACGATTACAGAACTATGATTTATTTATTTATTTATTTATTTATTTAAATTTTTTTTTTTTGAGACAGAGTCTCGCTCTGCCGCCCAGGCTGGAGTGCAGTGGCCGGATCTCAGCTCACTGCAAGCTCCGCCTCCCGGGTTCACGCCATTCTCCTGCCTCAGCCTCCCGAGTAGTTGGGACTACAGGCGCCCGCCACCGCGCCCGGCTAGTTTTTTTTTTTTGTATTTTTTAGTAGAGACGGGGTTTCACCGTGTTAGCCAGGATGGTCTCGATCTCCTGACCTCGTGATCCGCCCGTCTCGGCCTCCCAAAGTGCTGGGATTACAGGCTTGAGCCACCGCGCCCGGCCAGAACTATGATTTAAATAACCTTTGGAAATTTGAATTACTCAAGGTACATCGTCCCACATAGTCTCGGCCAATTTGCAATTAGAAGGATTAGTATCCTCTGCCTTCTTTGCCACAGTTTGTTTATATCTGTGTTTCCTAGCTGGAAGACTAAGCTTGGTTGAATGATAAATAAGTAGATAAAATGAGGGAAGTTAAATTTTCTGTATCTTGTGCTCTTTTATATCAGCTAAAGTAGCTTCTGTATAGAGAGCTCAGTTACTGATTGTTTTTTCCTTTTCAGCCTCCCCTGACCCCCTTAAAAAGGGTTTATAATCCCAAACCTAGATTGCTTCAGGCTCTTGATTTTAGAACTAATGTATAGGTCCTCTTGCCTCTAGTCAATGCTATCCAACAGAAATTTCTGCAATGATGAAAGTGTTTTATATTTGTGCTGTCCAATACGGTGTCCAATAGCCACATGTGGCTACTAAGCATTTGAAATGTGGCTAGTGTGAATGAGAAAGTGAATATTTGACTTAAAAGTAAAAAGTCACCTGTGGTTAGTAGCTACCATACTGCAGATGTGACTCTGGATGTTGGAATACGAGTGTGACTTTTACGTCCTCAGTTTCCAAAAACTGCCTAGAGTCAAAGAAGAAGGTTTGAGGCAATTAGAGTCCCAATTGGATTTAGGAGAGTGTGGGTCTCTTATATATTGTTATAGCTCTAGCTGTATCACAGAATTAAAGGCATGAAGAGTTTAACTGGACTCTGGCTTTACAGTCTGATCAGTGTTATTTTATGAGGTTAGCCTCATTTACCAAAGACACAGCTATGCCAATTATCTTATTTTCATGGACTTCAAGGCACTTTACTAGAAGGGGGGGGAAATAAAAGCATCCGGATTCTTCTTAGATGGTTCCTTAAGCCTTGCCTTAACATCGATTAAGTCTGCCCCAGGCGTGTATTGCCTTTCTCCCAATTTTTCTAATAAGATGAATAGCTTTGCATACTGCAAAAGTAGAATTCTTCAGGGATTAAAGCTGAGACAAGTGTTTCTTTTGGGTCTGCTATAATAGCTATCATAAGTCAGCCAATGCAACATTATGCTGTGTAACAAATCACCCCACAAGTCAGTGGCTCACAACTCAAACAAGTATAGGTTGACTGGGTTCAGCTCATCTAGGCTGAGTACAATGAAGTTTGGCTCTAGGCTGCAGGTTGCTCAGGTCTGCTTATGTCTGTGTATCTCAGGGCATGTTCTCATAGAGATGTCAAATATGCAAGCAGGTCACATAGCCAAGCCAAGAGACAAGAGTGGGATAGCACAGTTTTCCCACTAGGAGGGATGGATGATGAGTTAAGAGTGAAGATTTATGACCAGTAACTCAATTTATCACACCTATCCCAAACTTTCTCTCTTTCTCTCTCTCTTTATTTTATCAGAGTGATGATAAAATCAACACTTTTCAAAAAGCTTCTATCCTTGGAAAAATGATGCTTTGATTTCTCTCTTATAGTAAATAAATCAGTGACTTTGGGTATCTGGAAATCAGATTATCAATTGTGACCTTTAATAACCTATTTTATATTCCAATGAATGGATGGGATAATTCATCTTAATGCATCAATTTGATGACATTTTCACTTTTTCTTAAACTTTCATGTTCATTTACTTAAAAACAGACCAACTAACATAGCACTGTTCTCTCTGGAACTGCCCAGTTGGAGCTCTACAGCATCTGTCTACAGTAATTCCAGCTCAGTCTAATCCTTTCAAAATCTTTAGAGGCCACATCTTTAAAATAAATGAGACATTCCTATTTTTTTTTTTTAAAGTAGCTAGAGAATAACATGTGGGTATATGTGTGCGTGTGTGCATGGTATGATACTATTATACAAATAAATCTATGTGTATATCTGCTTAGAAGGATTATGAAGGTTAGATGATCTCTAGGGAATGGTAGTGGTGTCTCATTTTCACTTTTTCCTTTACATACTATCATATTGTTTGAATATTATTCGGTAAGCAGGCATTATTTTTATGACAAAGAGTTGTTAAAAATAAAAACTACATCATTATACTTCTAATATTTTGACAGGCTGTCACAGTTGGCAGGGTAGAAACTTCATAGTTCCATGACTTACCAGTTTCTGATTCCGAGTTACCTTTTCAGGGGAGAAGAGAAAGACATATGGGTGCTTTTGAGGGGTCAGTCAGCAGGAGCCTTTTAGGGTTCAGTAGGAGATTTTATTTTGTATTGCTGTAGTTTCAATTGAGGTTTCCTTGAGCCCTCTGTTTTTACATATCTTACTCTGAAGTGATCTGCCCTTGCAACCATTTATCAGCATTCCAGATTTAGCACAGCTTCCAATAAAGGGAAGTCACTTAGCGGAAAAGTGACCAAGCATTTCTGCTTTCTTACAAAAGCTCTGTGGCCTCGATAGCATCATTTTGTGTCATCTTAAAATGACTTGTAGCCAGGCAGCAGATGTCATCTATTCTAACAGCAAAAGCTTTTTGCAATGCTCAACCATTCCTGTTTTTCACCTTAAGATAATTTTAATCCTTCAGTACCAACTGTTAAAGAGAGAAAAAAAAAAATACAAAACGTAAGTTTCCCAGGACTAGGCTTTTCCTGAGTCACTTCAACATGGGTCAGGGGTCACCAAACTCAGGACCATTCATGGAAGTCAGTGCCCCTACTCCAGCCACTTGCATACCTTCTAGGCATCTAATGTAGAGAGAGTAGTCCAGCAGTCAGGGCAGCCCTGTTGATTCCTGAGTTTGAAACCTGGCTCTTCATGTATGACAACCAGTAAGTTACTAAAACCTTACTGAGCCTCATTTTTTTCCTCCTGCAAAGTGTGGATGAAAATGACACCTACTTCTTTAGGTCCTGTGAGAACAAAATGAGAGGGCATTTAAAAGTATTTAGGAGAGCATCTGTCTGGTAAGAGCACCCAGTGAACCTAATTGATTGTCCCCCTGATGCCCTAAGGGGTTGATACAAATCCACCAGGTGAGCATTCACTCTCTAGAAATAGGATCAAGTATGGTATTTTACTTTGTGAGAAAACCCATGAGTGGCTGGGATCTAAACTAGATGCACTTACATAATTTACATGAATATTTCATAGCCACAAGATGCTTAAAGCTGAAGTTTAAACTGGAACAAACTTGGGAGCACATCTGCTTTGTAATGTTTCTTTTGTAGCTTTTCTTGTCATTATAAACTATGCACAAGATTGAGGATAAGGGGAGAAAGAATCCCTTATTTTTGATGTGAAAATAGCTTTAAAAGCCTGAGTTAGAGGACTATAAATCAAGTAACATTGTTTCCGTTTTATTATAATGTACTTCAGGGAATAAATTTGATTTTCTGAAATATTTCATAGGAATGGTTATATTATTCACTTTACAGGGTTCTAGCTATATTGAATTACACATCATGTAATCATTGCATAATGTTACTGAATTTTATTTTCATATTATATATTGTCCCTCTGAAATCAGTATCTGGAACATTTAATTCCCGTAAATGGGAATTTACTCATTAAAAATGCATAGAATGTAAAACAAACCAATGACTATTTCATCTATATTGTGCAACACCATCCTCTGCCCTTCAACATATATGCACATTATTTTAATCATCCTCATCCAGAAATTGAAGATGGAAGAATATTGCTTCATCGAGAACATTTCTCAGAGAAATAATGTAATGCAGGAATAATATACAATATTTGGCAGGTATAGGAATGACTCTGACTTAGGTTTGACTATTTGAAATCCTTTTTCTTCTTCCCTGGTTGCTTTTCCACAGAGTCGCTGCTGAAGATTTTGGAGATTTTGATCAAGGAAGATTTTGGGCTTTTGGCAAGTTGGGATTCTGAGTCGGGTAAGAGTTCCTCAGGGAGCCATGAAGGGAGGACTTCTGGTGGAGGACTGTATCACACAGAGATACTTACAAGTCATTGCTCTGGGGTTTAGTTAAAAGAAATACAGATCCTAATGTTATGAATGTATAATGTTTGTTCTGCAAAGGATTCTAGAAAGCCTCAACTCCTTTAAAACTCAAACATAACTCAGGGTGGTAGCTGATATGCCAAATTTTAGTGGGCATAATTTGAAATGGATGAGAAATTATCACAGGTGTTAACAGGTCCAAATGCAGTGCAGTAGTAAAGCACCAAAGAGCTCACAAAGGACTTGAAAGATGCTTGATGTAGCATGTTGATGGCTGCCAAATAGCATCTGTCCTCAAAACTGCCTGACCAGGAAACGTTATGCCAAATTTGAAAGCTTATGAATGTTAGTCAAAGAAAAAGCCTTGCATACTGCATTTTATTTGCAATTATGCAGAACCACAGATTTATATTATAACTAATTAATTTTTGATCAAGGACATCTGCCTCAGTAAAAACAAAGGAGCATAAAGAAGTCATAGATCTTAAAACTTTTTTCAATTTAACAATCCTTGAGGGCAAAAATCAGGTTCAAGACATAACTTATTTTTATTGTTATGAAACCCAGCCTTCATTACTCTGCTGATGCACTTACAGAGGAAACTTTATGACCATCACAGGTATCTTTATAGGAAGCAGATCATTTTCTTAAAGAAAAATGTTGATGACTTTGGCTGCTCTAAGCTTCAGTGGTCTCTGTCCACAGGCTGCAGCACTGGAAATCTTCAGTTAGTCACCCTGCCACACCTAGCACCAAGACTCTTCCCCAGGAACTCACTCCCCCTCACTATATCTGGTGGTCACACCCCTCCTCCTCCCACAAGAAAGGCCAGGAATTAGTGTTTTAGCATTTGCTATCTCCATTCTCCTACAGCTTCCAGACACTTCTGAATTTCTGTCTTCTCTTAGTCTTGGTAGAACTCATTGCACTAGTGAGGTCTTGCCAAGCTGCTGAGTGGGGTGGTTTCATCTTTTTTGTTAATTTGTTTTTTGTCTTCTGTAAAATAAAGACAACAAATAGTGCTTTTCTTATAAGGTTGTCGTGAATATTAAATTTATATTGTGCTAGGCACAATCCATGGTACATGGTAAACATTCAAGAAGTTATTATTATTATGAGGGCAGGTACTAGGATCTTGGTTCTGAGAAAAGTACAATCTGCTGAATCATGATCCTATGTGATTACAAATGTCACACTTTCTTGGGGATATCTTCTTCTTGATCACTCTCCACCTCACCCCTACCCCTAGGTGAACCCCAGAGATATGAGTGTCAACCTGGGTCCAGGCTTGCTATCTGATTGAGCCCGTGGTTCACACTATTCCTCACAGTAGCTCCACACCGCGGTTAGCTCTTCAATCTCAACCCTACCCCTACTGCAACATGATTTTCATTTTACTCCTCTTTTTTTTGACTGTATTGATAATCCAGTATGCTTTTCTGAAACTATGTGAGATATAGCAGCAAAGGAGTGTTCCATTAATTTATTCCCTCTGTTTCTCTTGGAAGACATACATTTCTGTCATACTAATAAACTTTAGAGACTAGTCCATTGAGAAGTAGACTTGAAATCTCAGAAAACGCACATTTTCGAGGCAGATCAGTTCCCAAAATTGATGTTGCAAAAATTTTTATCTCTTTTACAGGTGACCATATCCTTTTGTTTTTTAATAAAGAGGAGTCATTTCTCTAGATTGTTTTTATAGTGGTAATAAAATAGGAAAATAACAAAAACTCTAACAGATCAAGAAAAGGTAACCTTTCCCATATTGCTTGCTATACTACTAATATTTGACTTAAAATGTCATATGGCAATAACTATATATTTTATTTATGTATTTTGTGAGACATGGTCTCACTCTGTCACACAGACTCAAGTGCAATGAATCAATCACAGCTCACTGCAGCCTCTTAGGCTCAAAGGATCCTACTGCCTCAGCCTCCCAAGTAGCTGGGACAACCAGTGTGCACCACTGCGCCTGGATAATTTTTTAAATTTTTTTGTAAAGATGGGGTTTTACCATGTTGCTAAGGGTAGCAATAACTATATTGAACTTGAACTAAAAATTTCTCTAGGCTGCGCGCAGTGGCTCACACCTGTAATCCCAGCACTTTGGAAGGTTGAGGTGGGTAAATCACCTAAGGTCAGGAGTTCAAGACCAGCCTGACCAACACTGTAATCCCAACTACTCAGGAGGCTGAGCCAGGAGAATCGTCACTTGAACCTGGGAGGTGGAGGCTGTAGTGAGCCAAGATCGGGTCACTGTAGTCCAGCCTGGGCAACAAGAATGAAATTCTGTCTCAAAAAAAAAAAATTGTTTCAAATATATTGGTTCATATTCTTGCCTATGTAAGATAAGTAGACTCTATGTTCCCTACCATTTTACTGATGATTGAGATGCTATAATAAATAAAAGTAATTTTTGTGAAATTCAATTCATATTTTTAAACATTTAGACATAGAAATTGTAGAAGATTAAATGCATACTTGTGATATTATATGTGAGAAATTTACCGCAATTTTTTCAAAAATTTTCTATTCACCAAAAATGCCATTTACCCTTTCAACTAAAGCAGAGTGTATAATGTTGAGGTTAATTGGGGTTTTAGTTAATATGTTTTCTTCTAAAAAAAAATAGAAATAAGAGTAAAAAAACCCCAAAAAACCCAAACATGTATTGTGCCTTTCCTGCAACAACTTCTTTAAGGCGATGTTATATAAATGTGGTTTACAAACCTATCTTCATAAAGATATGCCTCTGCTAAACAGTCATTATTGTTTTTATTGTGAGAAAAAAACCGAAATCAATTATTATTTTAATACTATTATATAACTACTTAGTACTGATACCTCAGAGTCGAGAAAACCCTCCGGATCTTTGCAAATTCACAATAAGTCTGTGGTATCTTTCCCATAACCAAAAAAAGTCAGAAATTCCCTTTTGGCTCCTAATGGGTTCTTTAGAAATTGAATAAAATATGTTGAAACTTATTTTAATACTAAGACAAACTATTTCCTTCTAAGATCTCTTTATTCTCTCGTCATTCTCATTCTGAACATTAAAGGTGGCTTCCCTTTGGGGATGGAAATTCCACAAACAGTATCCTCTGAAGATTTATTATGTATTCAATGATAAGGAGAGAAAAATTCAGCCGTTCTGAAAAGTTCAAAATTCCTGCCTAAGAGCATGTGATGGGCCATCAGGGTCAAAAACGCAAATGTCAAACCTCCAAAGGCCAAAGACTTACTGAACGGCAGTGTTTTGTTTGTTAGTTATTTTATTGTGCATAATCATCCTCTAACATTTCTATTTCAACACGATTTTTTGGAATAGCTCACCCTTGAATAAACTTGTCAAAGTCTTGCACTTCATGTAACTTTCAGAAGCTCTAAAATAAAAGCCAGTAAGTCTATCTCATTTTCTTTGCCCCTTAATCAGAAATGACAATATGGTGTGGAGAAGAGCGCAGGGGACCGGTAGTTGGCTGACCTCTCCAGCTCAGTTCCTGCCTTTGCCTGGCTTGGGTAGATACCTTAACTTTGAATTGCCATGATCATTCATTTGTAAAGTGAGGGACTTTGAGGGAGATAATTTCTAATCCCCACTTTTTATATCGTTTTGCATTTAAATCCATTAACACACTAATGGATTGCAAAATAGGAAGCAGATGACCTTAAAATAACTGTTTTAAAAATAATTTTCTATTTTTTCTCACTAAGTCTATTTCTCAGAGCATTTTTGAATCTGAAAGGATTGCTTAATGAGCCATAAATAAAATTCCAACCACAACCTTGCGTTGCTTATAAACAAAATATCCACAATGACCAAGATGTTTCAAAATACTTTCGTTGTTTCCATAGAACTACTAATTTGCAAAACCACGCGGTTAAGTGATGTAACTAACTCCCTACAGAACCATCAAGCTTCCTAAGACCAGCCCAGAAACCATAGCGCTGGCATAAATAAACATGGTCTTTTTAAAATTCACAGTTATGAAGTGCAATCATGATAATACTCAGAAAATAAATACATTTTCAATGCTACATAATTTAAATTTTTAAAAGCTTTTCTTTAGGAGATAAAACACAACTGAAATTGCACAACTTAAGTGTTTCTGAGGCAAATGTTTTGATGGGTAAAATATCAACTCAAATGGTAAAACTGTGTGCTTTCCTCATGGCCGCCTAGCTCACTTCCACTTCGTTTGTTTGCTTGTTTGTTTTCAAGGATCAGCCTAATCAATGCTTTCACTTATCTGCTTCTTGAGCTATGCTCTCCTGGGAAAAATGTGGGGCATCTCACATCTGACTTTTTTCTTTCAAACAATCAGTACCTACTTCCATTAGAACACTTAGGTATCATAATACTTGATTTTCTGGTTAATTCTCACTATGTTAGCTCCTTGAGGGCAGAAATTAAGTATTAACTTTAATTGTAAATGAAGGTTTTGTTATTGAGACAGGCACATCAACTAGGACTCACTGACAAACTCCTTGTAAGTGACAGCAAGCTGTTATGTTGTGTGGAAGGATCCATCAGTGTAGGAGGCTGAGCATATTTCTCAAATGGGAAACCAGACAGTTGAGTTACCCTGTTGAACAGGACCACAAATTGCCCAATGCAGCCATCTTATCGGTATGCAAACAACCATCACAGCCCAGGTGTCGAGCTCTGGTGCTAGGATGAAAGGAACTGGTCCTTCACAATTGCATGGGCATTCATGGCATGGTTTGCTTTTCCAAGCTACTTCATTCCTTGTTTATTCATCTCAACCAATCCTCTAATTGTGAGCAATGTCAATGATTGTATTTAAACTTGCAAGTGGGCATATAATTGTTACAACCACTTATTTTCACAGCATAGATGTTTCTATATGATATATTCAATTTTATTTAATCCAGGGCAATTCTGAGCCTTTTTTTGAGGTCTACCACATCTGAATCAGTCAGTCAAGGCAATATCTGTCTTGAGAGCAATGCATGAATAACAGAAACAGGAACAACTGCTCAAGATTATTAAATTCTTACTGTGTTCAAGACACCATGCAAAGTAATTTATGTGCCTTATCTCATTTAATCCTCACAATAACCCAATGTGTTAGGAATCACTATACCTGCTTTTGTAGTTTTTGTAGGTTATGAAACAGAGGCCCAGGGACTAAGTAAGTCCGCAAACTCAGATTAAGTCAATCAACAGCTGTTGCTGCCAAGACTTATCTCTTGATAGAAGAGATGGACGAGTCTTGTTGAAAGTGTCAATATCTATAGAAATCTGCTATACAATACTGCTCTTATTTATGTTTCCATTTACATCATGATGCCTTCTTGTCTCTTAATTCCTAGTTTGAGGTTGTTCTACATTAACTTCAATTCAGATATAATTTGACCAAATATTTTATTATATGTGAGGGTGGCAAAGTGGGAAAAGTCCATAGAACTGAGATGATATTGTGTCTGTTCTTAATTGGAGAGAGAGTAACACTACATAGGAAACTAGGGCAGAGTTGTTTGATGGCATGGAACTGATTGCTAAATGTGTAAAACTGGAATATAAGGACAAGGCATTCCTTGATGGTTAAGACAGTCAGCAAAGCTTTAATGAAGAAAGTAGTACAACATAATCACCACAGTAACCATCATTAATTGAGTACCTACTACACACCAGATACAGTGCTTGCTATTTTATATGTCTTATTCCTCTTGATAGCTTCGACAGGTAGGTACTTTTTTTTTTTTTTTTTGCCTCTTACCAATGAGACTAAGATGTTAAATAATTTGCCTAAGGTCTCACAACTAATAAGAGGCAGAACTGGTATTTTTATGTTATTCTGTCCAACTCCAGAATAGAAGTTAGGTTTTGACATCTATATATAATAAATATATTTTTAACAGTGTGACAGAGACAACTTTTTATTCCAATGTCCATTCTTTCATTCTTGAACAGAATCCTCAAAATGTGGTAGGGCACATGGATGCCAGTTAAAGGCCATTTTTCCTTGTTGCAAGGTGCAACCATGTTGCTTGCATTCTAGCCAGTGAAATATGACCTAAGGGATGTGTATAACTTCTTAAAAGAGAAGATATACAACAGAGAGTATACAACTGTGACTTCCCC